CAAGCGCCGACGGCGGGAGCAAAGTCGGGTTCCCATGAATCCTAACATTGCGCTCTGCCGTAATGCTGGATAGTCTTAGAGTCAGTCCGATCCTGGGCGCGCTGCCGGGCGTCGTGATTGCGGCGTGCCATGCGGGTGACCATAGGACTCAGAGATGTCTTCGAGTCTGGTGAGCTAACTGCCATCGTGCCTCGTTGAATGCGCACTCTCCACGATACGCTGTTGCTGGGTGGGGCACAACTGCAGCAGAGCGCAAGTCGCAACATTTCGCGGCACACCCGGGCCGAAGGTACTCGTCGATCGATGATCGCCCAACCGTCGACGTGCTCCTCCAGCTCGACGCTACATCGGCACAGCTAAATACAAATGAGCGCCTGGGTGAGCAAGGCGACGACGGCGCCGCTGCATGTAGCCCCTGGGGCCAGAAGCTTGCGGCAAGCCCAATGCTGGCTCAACTGGAGCACCCGCGCGTCGATAATCCGACTCGCCGGCTGTCGCGTCCACCGTTGGCCGCGCCAGCCGAAGAACAACTTCCCGGCGCCTTTGTCCTCGCCGCGCCAGTTAGGCAGGAAATTGAGGGCGCGGCGGGCATCGCCCCCCGCACGCGTCGCGCGCAGGCCACAGCGTGCCGCAGTCGGCGCCGAGGGGCGCGCCGTCGGACAACGACTTCCCGGAACCCTCGAAGCTGGCGGTGCGGACGACATCCAAGCCGTGATCTGCAAAAGCGAGCGACGAGCTCCGTCTTCGTTCTCGGACCCGAGCGGGACGTCCCAGGCCTGGTGCACACATCTGCCGGGGCAGGTCGGCGCGGCCAGCCTGGCGGGCCGACCCGTTGATCTCCTGGCGAGGCAGCTCCGCGGAGCCTCCAGCGCCACAGGCACCGAGAGACTCCACGGACACCATGCCGCCTACCTCTCGGAATGGAACCCCGACCGAAGAACGCCATGCCAGCGCGCCCGCAACCTCGAGACCAACGAGACGGAGGACACTTGGGAACGACCGCGATCTCGGCACCGCCAATCATGCGTTCCCACGGGTCCGAGCTGGGCGACGCGGCGGCGCCGCTCGACCGCGCGCGCCCGCGGACCGGCGCTCGACGATCACCTTGATCTCGCCGCGGAAGTCGCGGCCCACCGCGCCGCCCGCGACTCCGACCCCTGGAGTGCCAAGACTGTCGGCACCTATCCACGATCACAAGTCGCGAGATTGACGTCCGCGCAAGCATAGAAGACGCAACCCGCGGCCCTGGGCGCGCCCCGCGAGGGTGCTCGGGCATTAGGGCTGACGAGCTGGATCTTCAGCATCTCGTGCTCGCGGCCGTCGGCAGCGCGGTCAATTGACCGTCGTTGCCCACCACCAGCGGCGTGAGCTGCTCTGGCGGCAGGCCCACGGAGCGCGACCAAACCTTGCCGAAGTCGTCGACAGGAGCGCACACGTGGCCGCGCGGCGCAGACCCCGAGTCGAAGTAGACGGCGGCGGCGCCTCATGTGATCCCGCAGCCGCCAGGCCCAGGGAAGGCGAGACGCTCGCGGTCAACGCCTGTCTCAGCCGCCCCTCTGTTGGACCGCATGGACTGCGGACCGAAAAAGGGTCAGCGCCTGCGCCCTCCACGACTGGAGCTCGAAGGCTGCGCTGACTGGTCGCGCCATCGCGAGATGTCGTCGCCCCGGGGCAGTGGACCTGCCAGTTTGCTACCTGTGACCCGTCGCCAGCTCCTGCTGCTCATGATGGGGTTCACAACTTCTCCTCGGAGGGCCCCAGCCTCGCCCGCCCGGCCTCGCGGGCCACATTCTTCACGGCGAAGCGCAGTCCCCGGAGGTTCGCCCAGGCGCCAGCGTCAACTATGACGCCTGGCCGGTCACCTGGAAAATCGGCGCTCGCCAAGTAGCACGGCGACTCGCTCGATGACCTCGACCCTGTCCCTGCCGAGGTCAAGTCGGCCAACGCGGGACGGTCGGCCGGAGTGGCGGATGTGCAAATCCAGGCGGGCGCCACAGGGCGCCAGGGCGCCCGCGGGCGACGCGAAGCTGGACGACCTGCCCTGCGATTGCGAGAGGTCTGGCCGAGGCGCCCCTGCGACAGGGGGCGGTCGAGGAGACGCTGCGCGATGTCCTGCTGCGGCGGGCGGGCCGACGCCACGGGCGCCGGGCCAGTCGGCGCGCGATCTAACGTGGAAGCCGGCGGCGACGTCGGCCAGGCCGCGGCGCGCCAGACCGCGCGCCAAGCGGGCGCGTGCACCCGTCGCAGATGGCGCGCGCGGCGCAAGATGCGGCGGCACTGCAGGCAAATCACCCTCTCGCCACACGGGAAGGCCTCAAGGCAGACGGGGCGCCCCCCAGACGTCGCCGGCGAAAACCGCGACCGAGGGGGGCTCGGCAGGTGGAGCGGCCGGCGCAGGAGGAAGGTCAAGGTTCAAAATAACTTGCCCCCGGGGAGACTCTGGCACCGGCGGCGCCGCAGCTGCCGATGGGGACCGAGGCGGCCACGCGGAGCTCGATCCACATGGCGCGCCGACGCCGAGAGCTGAGACCGAAGGCGCGCACGCCCAGCTCGGCAGCCGCACGCGGCCAGCGGAGCACAAAGCGCGGCAACTCGCGCGTTGAGGTCGCCCACCCAGTCGCGAATGCCCCAATGGGAACGCACCGCCCACTCGCGCCCACCATTGCGGCGTCGGTTGGCGCTGGCGAAGCTGCGGGGGCTGCCGACGCCGACGGCGCGGCCGGCGCCGCCGGCGCCGCCCCCCCAGGCCCGCCGCCCGCGCAAAGTCTCGCGCGCGGCTCGCGAGCTCCGCACCCTCCCGCCGCAGTCATCGCAGCCCGGAATCGCGAGGGGGCGATGTTTCTACTCGACGTGACCAATGGCTGCGGTCCACTCGTTGCCAGGAGCCAGCAGACGACCCACTCAGAATGAGCGCGGGCGCTGCGGACCACGGCGCCGGCGCTGACGGAGTCAGCTGTCCGCCGCTCCAGGAGCCAGCGCTCCGGGCAGGATCGCCCTCCCTGGCGCCCATCATCGCGGGCGGCGGAGCCCCGGAAGCGACCCTAATCATCCACGCTGCGCACGCTCCTCGCACGGGCTCCTGGTCGGAGCTGCGGGTCGGCTGCCCCCCCCCCGCCCCCGCTGTCACAGCAGCGCGAGCGGCGAGGGCGCTGGCGGCGGCGACGGCGCCGGGGCGCAGGCATTGAAGACGAATGCGCCGTCGGCTGCGCCGCCGGGGGCAGTCGCGCAATAGGCGCTCGTTAGAGTCGCACTCGCAGCATGCGAGACGCACCCCGCCAGGGCCCACGGGTTTGCCGCTGGCGGCCCGAACCCGCGCCACCAGCCCCGAACCTCCCCATGCCTATACTTCTGCCCCTCCCCGAGCCCGCGAAAGCCTTCTGGGGCCGTTCTCAGCTGCGCCAGCGCGTTTCGGGGCGCCCGAAAGCCCGGGGGGAGGCGCGCGCCGCGACGTTCCACGGGAACGGGAACGTCGCGCAGCTCGCGACTCGGGATCGCCCGCGGCATCATCTTCGCCGAATGAGCTGACGGCGCCAGCATCGGCGCCAGAATCAACACCCGCCGCTGGGAATGCCCCCCTGCGCCGGCGACGCCGCGCTGGCTTTGCCCGCGACTGCCAGCGCGGACAAGCTCGGCGTCGCCCCCAACGCAGCTGCACCCACACACCCACAGCTCGATTAGGCCACAGCACAACAGGCGCCGCGAGCCTGATCTCACGCGGGCGCACCCTCGAGGAACGCGCGCTGCAGCGGACCGCCGAGGCGAAGTTACCTGGCGACCCCTCGACCACATGCCCAAAGCGTCACAGCTGGGCCGTCACGCGCGCGAGCTGGGCTGCGATCGAGGGGCAGGCCTCGTTGCAGTGCTGCAAGATCATGGCCAGCTGGGCGTTCGACACGCCAACGGCGCGCAGCAGAAAAATGCCGAGACCCTCGTCGCCGATCATGGAAGGACCAACTTGCTGCGCTCGGTCGTGGGATATGCCGAGCCGCGCGAGGAATTCGTCGACAAGCTCGTGCGGCAGTCTGTTGATGCGTTGAAGCTCGTAGGTGCGGGCACTGCCAAATCGCGCCCACGCATTCGCGCGCCATGCCGACGGGGCTGCCTGGCGGAACTCGTTGATGTCTGAGTTCGCCACTAACCAGATCATCACCTCGCGCACCCATCTCTGGAAGGGCACGCGAGCCTGATGCTCGGGCCCCCAGGTTCGCAGGTGGCGCACATTGCCGCTGCCGCTGCCTGCGCCCATGCAAGAAAGGCAACTGGCGATGGCAAGCGCGCCCACTCCGAAAGGCAACTGGCGATGGCAAGCGCGCCCACTCCGACGGCCTTCCATCCAGAGCGCATATCCCGCCATGCGTTGCGGAGGTGCTGGAGACTGGGGATCCAGCGGCGCTGCTCGGTCAGGGTGTCTCGGAGCCACCGTGGACACTTGCCCCCGATGTTCCTCCTCATCTGCGCAACAGGCGCATTTTTCCGTCGCGTGGTCGTGGAATCCCCGGCACTCGGAACACCCTGCGGCACAATCGCGGGAATGCTGTTCGTACGTCGTGTTGTCACAATACTGAGTACCGCCAACTGCGCGATCGTCAAGAGGAGTGCGCATCTGGACCCAGTCCTGCCAAGCTGCAAAGAATCAGCGGGTAATTAAGACGAAAAGTCATGCTCCAAGACATCGAAGAGGGTTCATCCTAGATCCGATTCGCTGTCCCTCGAAGTGCCAGTAGCACAGTTACCAGGCCTTCCGCTCTTCTCTACAGATTCCTCGCAGGGCTCTCGTCACACATTCGCCAGAAGCTCGGGGACCTTGAACGGCACCGTAGGTGTCAACGATGTGGCAAGCAACTGTCCGACATTCGCGGTTATTCCCAAAAGGCGGGTGCATCAAGGGGGTATGGTCCGCGAGCTCATGGGGTCCTTGAAGGTCTCGTACTGGTTGAGGTGTCGGTTGTGCACATTCCCCGTCACTGGTTCTGCAGGCCGAAGGGCGAGACGAAGAGCGGATGTTCAGCGAGATGACCTGCTGGACGCAGAGCGGCATGTTGCAGAACGGCGGCGAGGTGGAACATGAGCTACCGATGCGCAGCGAAAACGGAGAGCCGTCATTCGTGTGCAGCGGGCGGGCTGTGCTTTTGCATAGCGGGCGTGTGCAGTCATAGCGTGTCTAAAAACGGGCGCGTTAGGATCGACCCCAAAAATGGCATCGGCAAAGACAGGCAAGGAAAGGGTGAAAATTGCAGAGCAGGAACCGTTCGAGTCTGGAGGGGACGAGGATGAGGAGGAGGACGACGACAACGACGAGGACGAGCAGGAGGGGGGAGGACTGCCCTCCTCCCTCCTCTTGCCCTCCTTCTCATTCTCGTCCTCCTCCCTCCGCTCCTTTTCTTCCTCGTCCTCCTCCCTCCTTCTCCTCCTCGTCCTTTCCCCTCCTCGTCCTCCTCCGCTTCTCCCTCCTCGTCCTCCCTCCCTCGTTCCCATAACCTCGACGGACGGTTGCGGGGCGCCCCAAGGCGGACGACGGGGAGGGAGCGCAGCCTCGAACACCGAAGCGGCCTTGCCGATCGCCCTCGGGGGGGAGGATGATCGAGGGGGGGAATGGAGGAAGTGGTGGGAGAGAAGGAGGAGGAGAAGGAGGAGTAGACGGAGGAGGAGGAGGAGGAGGAGGAAGACCAATGCAACCCCAAGACCCATCAACAATATTGCAATAAACCCTCCCGCCAAATTGCCTCTTCACATAGGCCCCCGACAAAGATTCATGTTCACTGGTGGGAACGCCCAGTTGGAAGACAACCGTTCGAAAATCCTGAACTGCGCCAAAACACCGTTCCTGGGACTTCAACGCCACGAATCACCGTTAATGCTGCGTCTTGACGATACTGAGCCATGCTAGAAAAAAACATTCTTGGAACTTGAACACCGCGAATCAACGTAATTCTGGCGCACTGACCGTCCGACCTCGCACCCAAGCACCATTTCCGGGGCGTTAACCATGATAATGCTGGAAGCTCGTGTAAACTCTGAAAGCACCCGTATGCTGCGACAAAACGAGAATCGCAGTTTAATAACCCGCTCTCTTCACGTGAAGCTCTTGCAAACATGTAAGACGAATGCGCGGGGCGCTGAAGCGAGAACCGCATGTTGAAGAGAAACCGCCCTCCATCCATGAAACTCGGTCACATCTTGAAACGAGCGTGCGCAACGCTAAAATCAGAACCAAATGTTGAAAAGGAACCGTCCTCCATCCGTGAAACTCTTGCACCTTGTCAAAAATATGTGCGTTGCGCCAAAGCGAGAACTACATGTTGAAAACGGCTGGCCCTCCGTCCGTGAAACTCTTGATCACTCTTTACAGCGAACGTGCGCGGCGATGGGGCGAGAACCATCTTTTGAAAACGGCTGGCCCTCCGTCCATGAATGTGCGCGGCGCTAAGGCGGGAACCACATGTTGAGAACGGCCCGCCCTCCATCTATGAAGCTCACACTCGCAGCTTGAAGTTCATAAAGGATGAACAAAAACTCACGCGAAAAAAACAAGCCCGCCCTACACCCTGCGAAATGCTTAAGAATCATGGGTTAAGAAATTCATAGTCTCAGAATTTGAATGAAAACCCAGAATTCTTAGCAAAATCTTAGGATTTACATTAAACATTAAGAATAATCGAGACTCTGGCCGAAAACTCAAGTTTTCTTAAGCATCGCCTAGAGTGTACCGACATGCCTCGGGGGGGCGACAGGGAAGAGCTACTTGCAAGGACAAGGAAATGAGGAGGGGGGATGAGGGGCAGGGAAGGAGGGGGTAGGACGAGGAAGAGGAGTACTAGGAGGAGAAGGGGAGGAGGAGGAGGAAGAGGAGGAGGCACGCGTTCGAGGCAGAGTTGCCCCCCACAATAACTCAAGTGCGAACTTCTCCTGCTCTTTCTTCACAGCCGATGCTGCGCAGAAGTGCGCCTGCCAG